GGAGTTGGTTGATCAGGAGTTGGTTGATCAGGAGTTGGTTGATCAGGAGTTGGTTGATTAGGAGCTGGTTGATCAGGAGTTGGTTTACCAGGAGTTGGTTTACCAGGAGTTGGTTCACCAGGAGTTGGTTTACCAGGAGCTGGTTGATCAGGAACTGGTTCATTAGGACCAGGCCCGGGAGCTGGTTGACCAGGACCAGGACCGGTCCAGGAGTTGGTAGATCAGGAGTTGGTTGACCTGGAACTGTTTGACCTGGAGTTGGTAGATCAGACATTCACACATAAAAAACACAAGAAACACATAAAATATAAAAAAAAAAAAAAAAGATAAAAGTAAGGTGATAAATAAATAAATATGTGCACTGCAGAGGCCTATATGTACGCAACCTATGTCTATCTGCTTTTCCTGGTGAAGTTTAGCAGCTTAACAGCAGAGGGAAGAAAAGAGTGTTTGTATCTATTGGATATTTAAAACGGGAACCAGAGGGTAGAAACTGACATTGGCTGTGTAGGGGGTGGGTGTAATTATCAGAGATGGACTCAGCCTTCCTAATTACCTGCTCTTTGTATATTTCATCCAAGTTTTTCTGTTGGACACCTGTGATATTACTGCATACCTTAATAATCTTAACATTAAGAAGAGCATACCAGCAGATGGCAGAGAAGGTACAGTGGGGGAAATAAGTATTTGACCCCTTGCTGATTTTGCAGGTTTGCCCACTTACAAAGAATGCAACGATGTATAACTTTAATCATATGTGCATTCTAACAGTGAAAGACAGAATCCCAAAGAAAATTCCAGAAAATCACATCATATGAATTTATAAAAATTGATAACCATCTGATGAGGAAAAATAAGCATTCTTTGTAAGTGGGCAAACCTGCAAAAGCAGCAAGGGGTCAAATACTTATTTCACCCACTGTAAGTATGGACTCAATTAAGGATTTTTGTAGAACATGGTCGTCAGAGTCTTGTTTTTGTGTTTCAGGTGTTCTGGAGGAAGCCGAGTTTTACAACATCGCCTCTCTGGTGAGGCTGGTCAAGGAGAGGATACGGGACAACGAGAACCGGACCTCTCAGGTACCCCAAACGGGGAGTTTTTAAAACAGTTTTTCACAGCAAACGCAGCTGAAATGTGTCAGTTTGTTCAGAGAAAGTGCGTGTGTTCTGCGTCCCTCAGGGCCCCGTGAAACACGTGTACCGGGTGCTGCAGTGCCAGGAGGAGGAGCTCACACAGATGGTCTCCACCATGTCGGACGGCTGGAAGTTTGAGCAGGTGCGTTTAAGTCAGCCTCTTTATTTTAGTCCAAAGCTGCAATTTTTTTGGATGCAGCCGACCATAACCCAATCCAAGAAAAATAGGAAGAATATTGGATTTTTTTAGTCTGAAGTCTTTCTTTGGCCCCTCATCAACATATGAAGAAAAAAAACAGAAATCATTTTGATCAAATTAGCGTGCAATAAGTCAAAAATACATTTCTGTGTAGTCTTCTACTGGCTATTATCAGGTATATCTGAATGTGTACAACAGGGGTTTCAGCAAAGCTTTTACCACTGAATAATGCAAAAAGTCTCAGATCCAAAAGACTTCAGAAACCGTATCAGATATGACACATTTGGCATTAGAGGGTTAAAATGAGTGAGAGCCAACAAACTTTTATGCATTTTTTTTCCATTTCATGTCGTTTAAGAAGGGGACGTGTACAGTTTGGATCTAAAGTAGTATTGAACGTATCATATCCGGTTATAGCTACAAGCTCATTCACATCCTCAGTCGCTTTAAAGAATTAACAAAACAGTCAAGTGGCTTAAAAAAGAAAAACGCATTCCTCTTCCTCTAAAAATGAGAGAAAAATCCAAAAATGGCCATAGAACAACCTTCAGGAACTATTGCTAAAGTTTTTAAAAAATGAGAGAAAAATAAAAAAATGGCCAAAGAAAACCCTCCAGGAACTATTGTTAAAGTTTAAAGAATGTTTGGAAAACCAACAGGGAAGAAAAGCATTTAAATAAATGAGGAATCGAGCAGCATTTTTGCACAGTTGCAAAACAGATTGCAACTGGTTAGTTTGAATCATTTATATCAAAATGAGCTTATTGAGGAAATATTTTAAACTAAATTTTAGCTGTGAGATTAAATGGTTTCAAATCAGTGAAAAATGGCCAAAATCAGAGCTCTGATGTAACCTGCATCATGCATCCTTTGTGTAATCTGATCATTTTAGTTTAATTTGGCTCTTTCACATCCGGATTATGGGCGGCCATCTTGAATCTGCATAATGTGGTTGGTTTTCCGCCTTGAAGGGCAACGTTTAGCTTCCAAAACAAGCTGCGACTAGCATCTCACAAATGAGTTCTGCTCTTCTGGAGGAGCTGAGATGTTCAGACACTGGGTCTTGTACTCCCCGTAAAGAGACTGAAAAGTGCCCGGTTGGGTTTGTTTCTCTGGGAAAGAAGAGCAGAGCGTGTGCGGATTAGGCCAGATTTGATTGGTCCTCCTGGCGGATCGGCTCCTGTTCGGCCTTTAGCTTGAGCCGGTCACTTTGCCTGATTAATTCCCACAGAAGGCAACAGTTTGTTTAGCCTTTTATAGCTAAAAAAATCCACTCGGCTTCCTGTTTATCTCTTCTTAACCCAGAGAAGTTGCACCTTTCAGCATAATTCAGTAAGGACCTGGTCTTTTACATTATTGGCTATTAACTCATTGACTGCCAGCCATTTTCAGAACAGAGAGTCCCATACTGCCAGAGTTTTTTGAGCATTTTGACCGATTTTTCAAGAGCCACAGAATAGTTTGTGCTATGACTATGTAAACACGGAACACACCAAAAGAAAGAGTAGACTCTCTTCTTTCATCAGGAAAAAAAAATGGTTTCTACCTTATTCCGTTCTTCCTCGACGTGTGTCTCACCGGCGACATGTTCTCTCATAGACGTCTTTGGCAGCCAATGAGTTAAAGAAACTGTTGCATTTATTTATTTTCACCTTGTTTTACAAGTGTCGCTCAGCAAAATCCCTTCAGGATAAATAAAGCTTTTTGAATCTTGAATTTGAATGCAGTAACCAGTAACCGGCCATTTCCCGTTATCTAAAAAATGTAGCCGGCAAGAGAAATTCTGATCAATTTCTCCTCTGTATAGCTTATTGTCATAGTGATGATAAATGGAATATTGTGTCTACTCTGTAAGTCGCTTTGGATAAAAGCGTCTGCCAAATGCATAAACATAAACAAACAACATAAACAGAAAGGATGAGAGGAAAGGAAGATTCCCACAATAAGGAAAGAACCTTTTAAATAGAAACACTGGAGGAAAATCCCCAGACAGAATTGAACCAATCGATTCTACATATATCGATTTCCATCCGACTCTCTTCTGTGTTTTTACGGAGAGTGAACTTTCCCTGCTTCTGTCTCCTTTAGCTCATCAGCATCGGCTCCTCTTATAACTACGGCAACGAGGACCAGGCCGAGTTTCTGTGTGTGGTTTCGCGGGAGCTGAACAACTCCACCAACGGCATCGTCATCGAGCCCACCGAGAAGGCCAAGGTGAGCCCCCGGGTCCTCACAGGGCTTTAATGGTGATTTCTGGGAGAATATCTCACCACTTGTCGTCTAATTTTATTTAGCGGGTCACTTTTACGTCTACATTTTCTTAGGAGCTTCATTCTTTTTGCGATTTGTTTACATTTTTATTTTATGTGTTGATAAGTTAATGTTAGTTTTGGAGTATTTGTTACTTTTTTTACTTCCGTTCCCGGGCCTATCAGAGCATGTATTAAAGTTTAAAGTTATTTATCTACTTACTTAGTTGTCAGACTCATGTTAAACAGGGATTTACTCTGATAACAACTTAATGGTTATGACACAGACCTGTGGGTTAGGAGATGCTAATGCTAATGTGGGATCGGACTTTTAAAAGAAACTGGATCTTGAGTCTGGATCTGCATTTTCTCCCGCCGGCCTATTCTGAACTGAGTTTTGTCATTTAGCTTTTCTCGTTTTTCTTCTGTGTTCTGCTTCTGTCCTGTTAAGCTGCTGGAACTTTAATTTCCCTAAAGGAGTCGTCCCGAGGGATAAATAAAGTCAAATCTAAGCCTAAATGAACAACCTTATCAGTGCTCTGATCTCAGTGGCGGGCTCGGTGCTATTGGTGCCCTCTTTGTAAAATAAAAGGTGTTTGCAGCTGGAATTTCAAACATAACCTGAAAGAAATGAGGGCTTTAAAATGATCCTCTAAGAAAGACTTTGAAATGCAAAATGTGGAACTACGTGGAGATAAAGATGTGTTTCTGCGGTACCCGGTTACCCAGAGTCATGATCCTTCTAATTTCTGTAGGACTTTTTCCTCCAAACGCCTACAGAGAAATGAAAGTGGCCCATTTTTTACAGAAATCAAAAGCAGGTTTGAGAGGTTTAAACACACCTGATTCACATCAGCGCATCAGCAGACTGACCTCGTTAGGTTTTCTGCACCTGCTTCCTCCTAGTGGAGTCATGGGGGGCGGAGCCTATCCCAGCTGTCCTTTTTGAAAGGTGGGAGGAAGCCAGAGCACCCAGTTGTACTAAATGAGCTGCAGACAGAAAGAACTGGATTTGATGATATGATACAAAGGGGGGCATTAAAGGGTTATTAACTCATTGACTGCCAAAGACGTCTATAGACGTCTTTTATGTTTTTCAACGAGAGTGGCTGGGGGACGATCTGCTAAAGCTTGTCCGTAAATATCGGCTTCTAGACAGAGTATGTAGTAACAAATTGACCCTCTAGGGGGCAGTGCCACTTTTGATGGGAGATGAGCATAGACTGTAGGCAAATAAGAAAAAGGTAACGGTTGGCTATGAGAAAACATGTCGCCGGTGAGACGCAAGTCCAGGAAGAACGGAATAAGGTAGAAACAAAAAAAATTTCCTGATGAAAGAAGAGAGTCTACTCTTTCTTTTGGTGTGTTCGGTGTTTACATAGTCATAGCACAAACTATTCTGTGGCTCTTGAAAAATCAGTCAAAATGCTCAAAAAACTCTGGCAGTATGGGACTCTCTGTTCTGAAAATGGCTGGCAGTCAATGAGTTAATTGTCACTAAAGCAGCTGGGAGGTCTTTTAACCCCCTTCTTCTTCTCCCCTCCCAGATCCTGCAGGAACGAGGCTCTCGGATGTGAGGAGGCCCCCGACCTGCCGCCCAGCACAAGCACATCCTCCACTTTTCTGCAGCCACCTCCGACCACCACCAGGGGGCGCCCCTCTCCTCTGGTGTGCCTTTCCACAGCTCCTCTTCCTCCTCTTCGCTCCTCTTCGCTCCTCTCCACCCTTTCAAAGTGGCGGCGAGTGAGTTTTTCTTTCCCACATTGCAGCTCTCTGACAGCCGATTGGACGGCGGGCGCCATTTGGCCCCCCCCACCCCCCCCGGCGCCATTTTCGGACCCGAATCCTGCTCTCTCGGTTTAGCAAAACCCTCCTCAGGACTCTCCGTGGACATAGAGGAATTCAAACTGAGCTGGTCTGATATCGGGGGTTGGTCCTCCGACAGCCAGGGGGCAGCGTTTCCTCCACTCTCTTTAAAAAAAACACCAACCCGAGGGGGTCTATTTCCTGTTTTCTGACTTAATTTAATCTGAGAACCCGGGATGTCTCAACACGTAAAGAAAAGCCGACTCGAACCAGACTGTAAGTCCACTTAGTGTAAAACTTGTCTGAGGCATGTAAGGAATCTATATAAATCTATAGGCTACATGATGACTTATATATAAAAAAAAAACTGAATGCAAATGATGTAATTATTACTTTCTGTATCATAGTTGTCATATATTTACATATTCTTGTGGGTGAGTCTACTTAAACACAGAGCATATATCGGTTTTGACGGCCCACCCTGAGCCCCCCTTATTAAGATGGGGGGGGCTCTGAGTATGCAGTGCCTCTCTGCTTTCTGTCCACGACTGAATTATCACCGTTTCCAGATGCACGTTTTTCTGTAGAGGTCCTCATCGGACAAAAGGAAAGAGGTCCCAGAGTTTTCTTGGATATCCGACGTTGATCTCCTGCATATCTTAGAATTGTAATTGCACCCAGGTCCAATTAACTTTGAGAACTTTGAGCATTTTTCAAGCAGAAAACACAAAAATCCTCCTACTTTCCAGCTTTTGTTAGATTACAGTGTTAAGATTTTATTCATTTTTGTTCAATTTTACATAATTTTAATGTTTTCTGTCTTTAAGAAGCCAAAAATCCTTTAAGTTTGAAGCTTAATGAGAAGATAGACTCTTGGACTCTACTGTTATGTATTAAGATCTGCTCTCAGTTTGTTTTCAGAGCTACTCGGACCCAAAGGTGACGCACTTCTGGAGTGTTTCTGCTTGATAAATGACTCAGAGGTGAGAAACTTCCTGAACAGCCAGAGCTGCAAAGCTGGAGCCATTTTTAACACATATCGGAGGGAAATGTTCACATTTTAATCACTTCTGAAAGCCGTGGTTTTGTTTTTTTATCTCATATCCAGAGATGGATCACTTTGATCCGTCTGTATGAACAAAACATTTCGATGCAATTAGACCCAGCATGAAGAAAATGACCTGTTTTAAGGAGGAAAGTGAATATCCTAACTCAAACTCAGATGTGAGTCGTTCCTCGTTGTGTTTTTTCCTCCGTTTTTAGCGCGTCGTGCAGTTTATAACGCCCAGACATTTCATTTCGGAGCCTTTATTCCTCCCCTGGTTCCTCGTCAAAGCAGCCTTGGTGTCGTTTTCCTTAACCTGTGTCCTGTGTTGTGCCTTTGCTGTGCTCCCTCTTATCAGAAGGTGCCTCTCTTACCTTAAAGAGCCAGGAGGTTCCCGCCTGAACAATAATACACACTGCAGTCTTTAGCCTGACTTCTGTTCTTATTGAGTCGAAAAGAGGCCAAAATGAGCCGTCAAAAAAAGCCTCCGCTGTTTTGCGTCTTCATGCATTTACCTGTGAACTTAAAAAGATGAGCTGTTTTCTTTGTGCCATTCCTAAAGAGATAAAAAACACTCTTGGACGCGAAGGTTTTCTGTTCTTATCCCGCAAACACACTTTCAAAAGTGTTCCCAAGCAGGAAAACTACAGAAAACAAGTTTCTATCTTAGTAAAAAAAATAAATCCAGGGGTGTATTTGGTATTTGTCTGCAGGAACTCGCTTTATAACGAGCTCACAAACATTTCACGGCTTCTTTTTTTGTTTTTCTTGAGTTGCATGCCGAAGCCTCATGTAATGACTCCATTTTTAGGTGTTTGTAATCAGTGTTTAGAGCACTTAGTGGACCTTTAGTGGACTCAGTTTGACCTAAAACAATGGCGGCCCGGTTCAGTGGTTCCCAACTTTAGTGTCTATTTAAATTATATAAACTTTGCTAGTAGCTTTCTCTGCTGTTGTGAAATATTTCAGAGCACAAACAGACTAGAAAAACAAATGTTGACATGATGAAACATTAAATTAAAGACGCGTGGTGGATTTCAGAGCTGGAAAACTCCAGGATTATTTTATATTTTGCCTTTTTTATCCTTAGTGTATTGTCGTACACTTTAAAGAGGACTGGTGATGCTTTCTTCTTCTTCTTTTCCCCAAATACCCCCTTAAGCCTATAAAATGGGCCCATGTTGTTGCCATGAAGCACCTGGAGCTTATAGAGTATACATTTTCGAAAAGATTGGAAACCTGAGCGTTTATATTTGACTTTTAGTTCAAAACTGTTTTATAAACCCATAAAATGTCCCTCCTTAAACTAACATGCATTTTGTCAAATTTTTGCTACTAATATTGCTAAAAGGTTCATCATACCGTGTCAAATTGTGTTTTAAAATAGTTCAATTACCTCCTTAATCTTGGCCCATTTTAAGGAAATTGTTAGCAGTTAGCTTCTAGTTATGTTTTTTAACATAATGTTAGCAGCATGTCTTTTAATTACAAATACAAATAATAGTCAACTAGCTTTTATACTTTTGTACTAAATTATGGTCTGCTAACATGCCAAAGTAAAGGATTGATTAATACTTAATTTTTTTTATTTTGTCCCAACTAGCCATTTGCTAACATTAAGCATGTTATTAGCATATTATTAGCTTGTTATTAACCATATCAGCTGTGTTTTAAGGACTGTTTCATGCTCGGTGCTGTTAAATTAATGTTAGAAACCTACTAAACAAATGTGGATAACAATGCTTTTAAATAGCCTCTAGGTTAAAGCATGTTAATTAGTTAGCTAATCTTAGTATTTTAGCATTTAGCTAAAAACTGTGCTAATATTAAAGGTCGATTGGAGGAATCACTTTTTTTTTTTCATGTGAGCAAAATGTGACAGAGGAAGAATTCATATTATTTTAAAGCAATGAGAGAGATTCAGTTTCCTTTTTTTCAGTGAAATCTACACATGTAGCCTTTCTGTCGCATGTTAAAAACACGACACAAAAATGTCCCCAAAATGAATTGTTTGAAGACCACGATTGTAACTAACAAAATTAACCCTTGAAAAATAGTCAGAAACAAATAGTTTAAGGTTCAAAATCTTCTCTACTGTTGCTTTGAGGGGCTAAAACAAGTTGGGAACCACTGAACTAGCTTAATCTTGCAGTGTGATTATCTTACTATTTAACACCAAACCAAGTTTTTTTTCCTTTTCGAATAAACATAACTTAATGACTCTTTACCTTCCCCTGAACTATTTAGTCCTCAGATAATGTGCAATATTAACAATTCTGCAAAAAAAAAAATTTTTAAAGAGAAAAAACTATAACAGATGTCGGGGTACGTGAAAACAGGGGAGCATGCGTTGTTGTAGAGATTATGATGTCATGTACTGGATTTTGTCTGACCTCTGTGTTAGTGCAAAGTTTATGTGATGCATGGTGGGGGGGGGGGGGGGGGGGGGGGGGGGGG